GGGTACCCTTCATTTCTTAGCTAGAAAGCAAATGCTTTTTCGTGTTATCCAGCCGACGTAGCCCCTACATTTCTTAACCAGTCATTTCTTGTACAGTGGTTGCACTGTAGAATTTGTGACAATGAGAGACTGTGACATTCGGGGCTCTGACAAAGAGAGACTGACATTCGGGGAAGGCTGCGCCACCTACTGTGACCAAGGATACTGATGCCCATCGTGGTGCGCTGAGAAGTCGTGGCCTTACACTTCATCCAGGAGCACGCAGATTGCGTGTGATGAATGTCTTGCGTGTCAGAACTGCAGGCCTAGAGTCCGTCTTGGACGAAGGCTTCATCCACATTAAGCAAAAGAACATCGAGCTATGGAAGGCTCTGTTTTTCCATTCTTTTCATTGTTTGTCGAATGAAGCTCCCGCTTCAAGGATGTCTGCATTCAGGCTCCCATTCTCAAGCGGAGGAAGGGCAGTCTAGACTCTGGAAGTAAAGCATCGGCTTCAAGGCTCGAAGAGCTTTCAACAGGCGCGAAACTGAACACCAAGGGAAACGTGAACAACTCCATGCCCTAGGTGAATCAAAGGCGAGCATTCATGAGCGTAAACACAACGAAGTGGAGCAGAAAAAAAGTCTTGGCCATCGGCGTGAACCTTGTCAGATCAATAGCATTGTTCTTGAGAGAATTTATTTCACTGTTTTCACGGACCGCCCAAGATGTGACAGCTACGCATGACAGGTGCACTCAGATGAGGCGACGCGCTGTGCTCTGAAAGAGAATCAAGCTGCACAACCCCAAGCTTATTCAGCTTCTTCAGTTGTATTCTTGGTGGAGATTCTACCATCCAATATATAGTAAGATTGCATCCTCCTCTTGGATATGCAGTTCAGTTTTGGACTTGGTTCAATCACCTCAACAGCATAGCTCACTTGCTGTCATTTGCTCTACAGTCGGGCAGTTTTGCCGCAACGGTGCGCACCTAGCCATTCGTGTTGCATCGCTCTCGACAAGGCCGAAAAGAATTGTCGATATTTCTGCTTGTTTACACGAGCCGCCAACTTGGTTTCAGGATCATTTGTTGCACATGCTGTCCGCATCTCTTGCCAATGCGGAATAATGCGGATGGCTTAGGTTCCGATGGTGCACAAGGCCAACTCTCGAAAGCATCTACTGCAATGCCTGTCGCGATCCAGTTCAACTCTTGGCATGCGTTGGTTTTACCCTCGTGGTGCAGTTACCGTTGTGCCAGTTCACCTTGCATTGAAATCTGCTCTTCACTAGTCCTGGTCTGGTTGCTAAGATAGATCCCTTCCTATTGCATTGCTGTTCCCACCTTCCTCCAAGGCACGGGAACACGGATGTCGCAAAGCATGCAGAACCAGGCCTGCAAGCCTGGCCGAGCCTGTACCTGTACACCATGCGTGCGGAGTTGGGTCTGAGTGGCAGACAGGTTTTTGAGGATTGGTACAACAAGGAGAGGTCTCCTCTCTGTCTCAGCTTGTGTAAGCTGGCATTCACTTCGCACGAAGCTTTTTCCACAGCAGATCACAGCAGATTCAGTGGCATCGAGGACCTAGCTCATGATGCAGCAACAGTGTGGACGAACTTCTACCTTTTTCTGGGCACGCCGATTATAGGTGGGCTTCATGCTTGAGTGGTTGCGCAATGCCTCATGACATGATTCGACTACTTGTCAGTGCCAGATGTTGTCGCTGTGCCTTGCTGGCAAGGGATTCTGGTCCTTTGCTTCATCAGCGGTTGCGGACGCTCCTTTAGGCAGGGAACCCTTCAGCGTGCCATAGCTTTCGTCTGCTCCCGAGGTTGGAACTTTTGGACTTCCCTCTACTGCTTTAACTCAACTACAGCAGACACGCGCCACATCAAGTCTCTTCATCTCTCGGCGGCTGCCAAAGTCAAAAGTGCCAGACTTGCCCTGACAAGATCACGACCGCTTGTGAATCAGTCTGGTTTCACATTGTTTTCGCTTCTCCTTTCTTTGCAGTAATTCTTAAGTTACCTACAACGAAACCCCAAGGCCGTGCCCAAGGCTGTTCCGAACTTGAGTGAGGAACAGATATCACATCATGTCACTGAAGCCCTGAAGCACTTGTTATGCTGGGCCGCGCAGCAACAGATTGTAGGCACATCCCTGAGCACGGCACCAGACCCAGTAGTGCGAGTTTTTTTTTTACCTGTGCGGCGCATTGCTGTGCTAATGAAGCTGACTTTGAATGACCACGTAACCTTCTTCGATAGAGAAGACGCATGGTCAGCATTCGCTTTGATTTCTCTGCAAGGGGCATATCTCTGCAGGCAGCCACAGGCTCCGCCTGCCTCCTTCTACAGCAACACGTCCGGGATCTCAGTACAGACACGCCATAGGCCCCACCGAATTGCCAGGGTTTCAGACCTGAACAGGGTGAACAGCTGCAAGCACTGGTGCGCATCAGATGGGCATCACTGGCCGCAGTATTTGCGAGACCAACAAGAATTGAAAGCTGGCAGCCGAAATATCCGAAGCAAAAGCGCGCGCTCAGCGGACGTGATTGTTTTTGCTACGGGCACAGGTCGTAGCTTGCGGAGTTCGCATCCTGCACGGTCTGTACCTTGGGGAATGAAGACGGGAAGCGCAGCAAACATTAAGCTATGTTAGCAATACATGAGGCGTGCCATGGCGTGCGAATCGGCAAATCGTGCAAGTACGTCAGATCCAAGGAGTGTGCCGATGATTAGGGCAAGACTCCTTCAACAGAATAACATCCAGGCCACGTCAGACACGGCGTGACGAGGCAAATGCATCAGTGTCTGGCGTGCGTCCGACATGGTGCGACAGCAAATCCAGCAGTGGCAGGCTGCGCTGCAGCATCTGGCATAGCGGCGAAGACATGCAAAGACATCGTTGACGCAGTGGCGACGTTTGGCCACCTCATGAGTACCCAAGACCCTCACATCCTTTACCCAGGAAAAGCAGGGAGCACTCCTCACAATCAAGCCCAGCAGTGTAGCAGGAGCTTAGGCAGTGTGCTGACAGATGAGTTCTTTTCAGGCAGTACGTGCCGGACCCCTGGCGACGTCACGGATGAGGCGAGGGTCCAGCGTTGTTCGCTGAGAAGCAAGCTGAGAGGGTACTACACTACACTGTACTTGTCATCTTGGCCGGCTACCAGTACTCTGAATTCTCCTTTCCCGCACGAACCCGGCTCATTAGTTATTAGTCTTCGCACTTGTGGCAGAAATTGTGTAAGTGAATGGAGCATGATTGGATACTATCAGTATTCGTTAGTAATCAGCGAAACAGTCCGCAAACTGCAGTGTATCGGTCGATGGCTTAAAAGCTCATGGTACAGAAGAGAATAAACCAGGGTGAGTGATGCCAACTGTTACAGGTTGAAAGCCGCTTGTTGATTTGCACGTTTGTTCGGATCTCAGGTGCAAGTGCAAGCCGGAGTGGCGCTGCAGGCCCGGCTATATGTTCATGAGGGCCGCAGGAACTTGTCCGCAGTGCCAGCTTCGATCAGGATGATCAGGTGATGCTTTCGATCCTGGGAGCAGAGATTTTGCAAGCTGGCGCAGCCCACAGCTGGCTGCAGCTGGCTGTGCAAAGAGAAACTGTGCCATGGATCTCGTCTCAGTCGCTGCTCGGCCTGGGTGTCCAAATCGCACCCTCATCCAGCTGGCACCGCGCAGCCATGTACATATTTGGGAGCAGCCACAGTGAGGGGGCTGAGCAGAAAGCCTGCTTGCAGGCTTTGCCATGCTTCCAGGATGTGCAGCCACCAGTTTGCAAGTCGCCTGGGGATGGGGAGTGGGGCGACGGTAAGAGCAAACATGGCAAAATCGCTGCTCAGATTTAGGAAGGTCATTTGCGGAATGTTGCAGGGATGTGATTATACGTGCTACTACTGTAGAGATGGGAATTTGGATGCGATTTAGCATGGATGCCCAATTGGCTCGAACAGTCGCGAATAGTAACAGGCTGAGTCAGCCTGGTGAATCATTGGCCATGCGAATTTCCGCCTGTGAGGCTGTTGAAGGGTTCCAAGGTCGATTTGAAAGTGTGTCCTACTAGAATAGCCAAGAAACGTTGAGGGTGAATAGCCTAAAATGTCAGTGTGCAGGTATCGGTGAAATCCCAGTACAGCTACCAACATTTGTCAACTCGGATACTCCATGTGAAGCCCGACAGCATTGGTTAATTAGCGCGTAAGTGCAGATGGTTGCAAGATGACGGACATCTTCAGAAGGCTGGTCAGAGGCGATGGCTGGCCCGACGAGCCGGAATTACCCTCAGAAGATGCACCACCTGTGCCGACGTATTCGATCTGCCTCAGCCTTCTCTGGTTGGTGCCCGTCTTCATATACTGGCTTTTAGATTTCCTGCTGACGCGCCGAAGGCGTACCGTCCGTGAATCTAGTGCAGATGTGGATGACGCCGCGCAGTCTGTGCTTTTGCAGGATGACGAACCTGAAGAGTCGGCGGGTGGCCCACGCATAAACACATTCGTTGGACAGACACAGCCTGGTTACTTTCCCGTCATGTTGGCGTCTCTCGAGCATTCCCTACCACATTTGCAGAAAGGCCGGGCGACAGCTGGAGGTCTGGGCAAAGTCGTTGATCTCATTGCCAGGAAGCACCCTACGGATATTCTTTTAGTTCATCCGATGATGAAGCAGGAAGAGGGCAAACTGCAATATGGGCAAGCCTGCGAGGAGCAAATGCCTTTGCGCTTGGTCATTGACGGTGAGCGTTGTAACGTTCGCGTGTATAGGTTCGTACCACCAAGTGACGCCTGTATAGCGGATTCTCACGTGGAATTCCTGATGCTTCTTGGATATGAGTTAGTGTTTCCATTGCAGATGGTGCAAGTCCAAACAGTTGAGCCTGAGGGGGTCAAAAGGCCAGGAAAATGCTGACTGATTAGCCATGCAAATAAGTCTGCGAGGCTTTCGCATGAGATCTTTGAATCCCGTGCTATGGACGGCAGCTCAGAAGCGATTGGACTTGAGGCATAAGTAAGGTGAGGCCCGACATGACACTCACTCAATGCAAGGTCAATGTGAGTAATGCAGCCTATTCATGCCTATTCCGTAAGTGTTCCGTGTCACCGTCTTTGTCCGCAGTCGAAAGAGTCCAACAGATTGGCAGGGTTGATCTGCAGAGAGGAATTTTGAAATGGGTCTGCCCACGTGCTCCAACTGCCACACTGCCCATGTGTCTTGCAGTAGGATAGGCAAGACGGCTACATGACTCTTGCAAGATGAGCGATCATGCAATTAAGCCAGCAGAGCCGGCTTCGTCGAGCTGCACCCTGTGTGGGGCTATGCAGGGCTCTCTGATCGCAGGTTTCGGTGCATCTGCTTGTTGCTGTGCATCCAGGGCTATCCTACACACACATGACTGTGAGCATCCGCCCTTGCGAGCTTGCTCTGCGCCTGAGGACATGTTTAATCACAGATCTTCAAGCAGAAAGGGGTGGGGAAAAGCATCTGACAGATCTGGCAACTGACAGGGCCGAGGAATTATGAGGAGTGCCGGTCGCAGAACGTAAGCCCAGCAGAAGAAATTATGAGAGGGATCCAAGCATCCTGGCTGCCGGTGTAAGGGGGTTGGATGAATCGCTATTCAACTATTCCCGACCCCCCAACTAGGCTTCCTGTATAGATTTGCTAGAGAACCAATCATGGTCCCATAATTCTGATTTAACATCTGCGTCAAAGAAAACCTCACGAAAACTTTCTGGAAGTCAAACAACTCGAATTTACAATTACCATCTAGTCGAAATCCATTTAACATCTCAACAAAAAGCAGGCAACGTCTGAATGCAGTCACTTCAAAGGGAGTTTACATCAAGTCGAAGCGAATTACAATCAAGCAACATTGAATCGTAGAATCAGAGAGAAATCGTGCAAGTTTAAACTCTCTCTAATTACAAGGCAGCTAGAGTCGAACTACAATCAATTGAAGTCCCATCAAAAATTTTCGGAGGTCGGTAAACATCGAACTAGAAGTGGTTGAAAAACATTGAGAACAGTTCAACATGAAATTAAATCCGTTTGAAACCTCATGAAAGTCCACTAACAGGAGACACAAATCAAGTGATATGAGTTAAAGTCTGGTTTAATCCAATTACTTAAACATGTTAAGCACAACCAAATCTGAGGAAGTATAGGAGATTCGAAAGGTGATTTAGGTTTGCGTTAGGATCTTTTGCAAAGATTCATAAAAAGCCTTGTGAAGAAAAAGGAGCATGGAAAGCAAGGAGATCCCCAATTCCCGCTGATTTCTTGTAGCGGCCCCCCAAATTACCTCAAGCCCACTCGCATACGGCATTACAAGGATCCCAACTCACCCCTTAAAATCGCCTTGGCCCATTTGGAAGGAATCTTCCAGGAGTTCTGGATCTGGGGATGGAGGTTATTATGGAGAAGCGATAAGTTCGTGGCACAAGCCTGCATGCCGAAGTGGCTATCAGGATTCGTTCGCGCGGCATCATCAGCATCAGGAGGACACGGTTTTGTCTCACGCAAACTCAATTAGCATGCTCACCGTGCATTTGTGCTGAGGGAAGCTTCAAAAACGCTTTCGAACTCCAATCCGCATTCGCGGTGGGGACCGGAAAGTCCGGTTTGAGAAGAGGAGGTCCGAGAACTCTTTTAAACAGGGAGAGAAGCAGAGCCTCACAAAACAAGCACCGGCTACGACATGCTACGACTGGATGATTTTGGCTATTCGCAGGGGACAAGCAAGCCGTCCAGGGCAGGGTCACTTTGCACAAGGTCCTACAGGAGAGGATCACCGTGCTTTAATGTTGTGAGTAGATTCCTTTCTGCAAGCAGACTCTCTAGGCAGCATGCTCTCGCCGCTCAAACAGGTCTGAAGGAACGAATGCAATGTATTGGTTGATGCATCAACGCAGCCAAGGTATCTATCCAAATCCGCTATCACGAAGAGCCGTTCTCAAGTTCTTTTCGTTATGGAACCAAGCAGTTGGTGCTTTGCTGGCTCGACACAAGCCGCGAGTATTTCATTGTCCGGACTTTCATGCCGCTATTGCTCCTTGGTACGCCTTGCCGGAGCACCCACAACTGAGGATCTTGCTGGTGTTACACAACGCTGAGTATCAAGGCACTATCAGCACAGATATGATTTTTGGCAGGAGGTTGGCTGCCATAGCCTCCTTGTTCAACTTGCCACCTCAAATGGTGAAAGATCATCTGCTTCTGGATGGGCGGTTTAACATGCTAAAAGCAGCTGTTGACTTTGTCATCGAGAAGCAGAATGGTGAGGGTGTCTGTGCAGTGTCCCAGTGGTATGCTGCCGAATGCCATTCCAGCTATGGAGTCCTCTGGCCTTTGCCAAGGATTCAGGGTTTGGACAATCCGATGTTAGAAGAAGAGAGAGCTGTCGTAAAAGGAGACATCACTCAAGCCAAAGCTGAAGCCAAACTTCGCGTTCAGAGAAGATTTGGTCTTAGGCAAAGCCCCGATGCTCGTCTTTTTGTTTCCTTGGGCCGGCTGGTGAGGCAAAAGGGTGTGGATCTCATCGCGGATGTTGCGGGATGGCTTCTCTCAGAGCATGCAGACTCCCAGCTGATTCTAGTGGGCCCCGTTGGGGATGGGTTCGGCCACTATGCCGCAAGCAAGCTGCGACAACTCGATGAGAATGGAGACTACCAGGGCCGGCTATATGTGAACATTCAGTTCATGCCGCCTGTCAGTGAAATCATTAAAAGATATTAAAAGCATGACCGCACAAACGGCAGATAGAGAGCAAGGCGAGATCCGGAGGCATTGAGGGACATGAAGCTTGGTGACCGACTCAATTGGATGTCCTGTTGGTTCGTGGCAAGCTTGCCAGACTGCTCGAGGCGCAGACTTTTGCCTCATGCCGTCGCGAGATGAGTCCTTGGCCTAGGCATCTCTGGGTTGCCTAAAGGCTCAAAGATGCATGGAATTCTGCGAGCTACAGCGTCTTGGAAGGTAAGCAGCGTGCCCATGTCGAATTTGAGTACAGACTACTACAGAACTACTCGATGATTTGGGTATTCAGGATGGTGATACTGTACCGAGCGCCCAGGCCATTCGGCTATGTGGACATCGAGTTTGCTTGGCACGGAGCTCTTCTGGCGGGGGGGGGGGGGCGCGTGTCTTTTGCCTTCTACCGGTTGGTTTCCGTAGCTTGTGTGCGCAGCTCACGATGCTTGAGAGCAGGGTCCAGGTATGATCGTTGTCAATCATGTTGAATCATGTCGTGCTGTATGGAGGTTGGTGCTCAAGCTGGAGGATTGGGAAAGGTACCCCGCTCTGTATGGTCGCGCCGGGTTGCGTAACTGATTACCAACTGGGCGAGCTTCAGGTTCCTGGCTTTTACTTCCTGGCCCAGAACAGAGAGAATCTGGGCCGCTTGCGAAAGGAATTAAGGTCAGCAGTGCCACGGCCCCATACATGCAACACATGCAACAAATTGAAATTTGCCAAGTTCGCCGCGACGTACTTGGCTGTTTAAGGTCTCAAGCGATGCAAGCACCAAGATCGCAGCTTGAAAGCCCGGGCTCTGAAAGCTTGATCTGTTTGCGACACTTTGCAATGGTGCAGCGGGTGTCATGCACTAGCCCCATCAGTGAGGCATGGCCCAGGCGGCCGTCCGTGATTTGCTCAGCTTGGTTAGTTAGTTTCGTTTGCAAGTCTTGATGCTCTTGCGAGAGGCACTCAAAGTCTCTTGAAAGGTTGCAGCTTCCCCCTGGACCAATGGCAGCAGCGCCTAACAGCCGCTTACGGAATTGTGACGGAGGTGGCTTGCCTGCAGACGCTTCAGCGATTGCAGAGCATGCTAAATTGTTGTTTCGACCTTCTGCGCTCGTAAGTGAATTGTGGGTTTGGAAGGTTGCTGTCGAGGGAAGACGCAATAACTTCAGTTTGAACCACTCATGAGTGCGATGGCAGTGACTATTGCGATGCTGGCAGGCCGTAGGCAAGTGCTGTTGCAGCTCTATTTTAGAGATACGTACCAGAAGGGCGCGCAGAGGGATGGTGGCACGCTGCATGTAGAAAGCTGCCACAAATTTAGTTGCTGATGAAATTCCTGAATCCTACGCAGGCTTCAGAACAACAGGTGGCACAGAAACACGCGATCCCGCACATGCAGACCTCCAGACAGGGGCAAAGACAATTGACAAACTTCCACGACCTCCTCTCTCCCTCTATCTCTGCAACCTCTCCCCAGGCAAATTTTGCTTGAGCAAGGCTTTGATAGGGGGGATGCTTCCTGCATGCCAGTGGCTTCCCGCCCCCACACCCCCACTTGCGCCATCTTGTGCCATCTTGCGCCCCTACCCAGCCACTACTCGTACCGAGCAATTTCAGCAAGGAGGCGAGGCGAGTTGAAAGCCGCAATTCAGAACAGCAGAAGACATGATGGAAGCATATCCCAACCTTGCGCACAAGACAACGGCATTGCCGCAATAGATAGGTTGGCAAACAATATTGATGGGATTTCGTGTCAGTGAGCCAAACACTGCCCAACAACGAAGCCGCCAGCAGCATGCTGTGAAGCAGAACTGCGCCTGCTGCGCCTGCGCCATATCCAGATGAAGTGCATGCAAGTTAGACAAGTACTTTGAGCCATTCAGCAGGCCAAGCCGCGGTTGATGTCGTCATCCTTTTGTTGTTGGGGAGATATCTCTGTTAACCGCATCTGAGCAAATCTCAGCGGCCAAGAGTGATGAGAGAGACGAGATTGCAACAAACCAGCTGGGACTTTCTGTGGGTGACAGGGGATAATCAAGCTCAGAAACAAGGAGTGGAAGCTAGCATGCAGGAAGAGAGAGGCGCTGTGGTGGGTGTCTCCTAATCGGGAACATGCGTCGGGTTTGCTTGTCTTACGCACTGCACTCGCTCAGAGCAACGTCAGTACCGTCTTTGAAGTCCATGGAGGTGCCAACCGGCCGTGAACAGACAGGGCCATCTATGTATGTAGAAGGCGGAAGGCATCTCAGAAGCTTGTCGCAATGCTTTTCCCTGTGCTGTTGTTTGCGAGATCCTTGAGTGCGATTGAGATAATGGTACCGCAACAAGCTAAGATTTGCTGGGAGGTTTTGGGATGCAGAAGGGGCTTGGTACCGCGTGCGCCACGGGGCTGTCCAACATGAATGACACCAGACATCCAGGAAAGGGTCTTCCAGCCAACTTCAAAGAGCAGTCCTGGGAGTCTCTCGCAAGTGCTCCAATTGGAAAGCAGAGTCGTGAACAACTACATCGGAAGAATGCAAAGGCACAAAAGGCAGCAACGTGGCACGTGCTGCCTTCTCGTCAGCTCAGTTTGCGTCAACTAAGGGCGTACCCGCATTGCAAAGAGCACAGTCTGTGGGAGCCCAAAGTGTATAGAGTTATGTGCTTTCAGCCACAACCAAGATGTATGGCCCAGGCGCAGAGCCTGGCTACATTGGGGGATGCACGCAGTCGGGGCGAGTCTGATCAAGGACTTGGCAGCGAAAGATAAACTGAAGTTGTCACGGTCACTTGCAACAGCTTGCCCCGCAACAGCTCTGCAACGAGCTAGGCCTCCTTGAACAATAAGCCGTGCTTGAGATTTAGCATCCCTTCCCCTGTATCAAGAACACATGTTGAAATGGGAGTCCTTATAATGGGAAACTGATGAAGCTCGAGGTTCCGTGCAAGTATTTGCAAGTCCCAAATCTTGAACGTGGCAATCTGAGCTAGGAAGAAAGACCTTGAATTTTTTTGGAGCTGGAAAACAACAATTCAATTCCAGTGTGTTTCTGTCTGCAAGATTCGCCCAGTCTTCAAAACTCTCACGCTCCAATCTGGCCACCAAAACGGAGGGCTTTTTTTTTTTTTTTTTT